AGTGCCGTGATGGGAAACTTTTACTGAGAATAAGAAGAGATAACACGGAGGGGCTTCCTACCTGCCAGCCATTACACTGACCACTGAGTGTGTGCTGTCTCCACCAGCGTTCCATAGAGAGGGCCCCTGTTCCAGCACCACCGGCCCTCATCCAGCTGGAGCAGTGGCCTCCTTTCTGATCCCTCTGCTTATTCTCTTTGCTTCCCCAATCCAGTCCCCACAGAGCAGTTAGCAATTTTCTTTTTAAACGTAACGTAGATCGCATTGCTGTCTTACTAAAAGGTCCACGGCTTGTCGTCTCAGACAACCCAACCCTGCGTCTGTTCTCTCTGGCCAGCTCTGGCCTCCACAGCCCTTTTCCCCTCTGACGCTGGCACTCCATTCTCTCCCCTCAGTCACAGGGCACCAGGCATGCTGGTCTCCTTTCCTCTCCTCAAGCACATCCTGCCTCAGGGCCTTTGCCTCTGCCTGGAACCCCTTACCGTGATCTTCATTCAGCCTTTTCTGAAGTGTCCCGGTACAAACACCAGCAATTCAGAGGGGTATCTCCAGGCCATTCTGTCTCCCCAACCTCGGCTTTGAGCACTCAGTCACATTACCCCTGCTTGCTTCAAATTTTGTATTATTATTTCTGAGCGCATCTTGTTTATATCTCTAACTTTTTAATATAAGGGCCTTTGTTCACGGCTGTTTCCCCTCCTCCTAGAATGGCTGGTGCCCGGCCCAGATCTGGAGCTCAATGTATGTCGAATTAATGAATGAACAAATAACCTAATTTAATTGTCACACAAACCCCATGGTCTGTTTCAGTGGTTCTCAATCATGATTGTGCATTTCAACTCAAAACACATTGGATTCAATTTCACTGATCTAGGGTCTGGTGAGTCTGGGCATCTTTTTTTTTAAGCCCCCTTGGTGATCCTAATGTGTAGCCATTTATGCTGAAATTCACACTTAAATTTATAAACTTCTTGGCAGAAGGAAGGCTGCCAGGGCAGGGCCCTTCAGTCAGAATTGCCATTTTCACTCAAGCTCATACCTGCAGGAAGCCTGGTTTTTCTCAGGCCCACTGGGGCCAAGCCAGGGCCCGGGGCAGCACACTCTGTGGCCCTTGAGGAGGGAAGTTCACGCCTGAAGAGCAGGCTCCTGGCTTCCCTTTGTGACCAGAGCAGGACCCGAAGGCAGCTGGGTGTAAATCCAGAGGCAGAAGTGGAGTCCCTTCCTGGACACACTGAGGCCAGAACATCCTCACCAGCAATGTTCTGAGTTCTGGGGTTCTGGCCCTGGAGAAGAATAGGCCATTGTTGAATAAGAGGGGGCCTTGCCCTGCCCATGCTGAGTGGGGGGAGGAGGGCTGGAGATCACAAGAAGGGCCAGAAACAAAACACACTATGGGGTACTGGCTGTGGCATCAAAGGTGCCTACACATTGGAATTTGGATGCCATCTCTGTTCCTAAGCAGCTGTGTGGTCTCAGGCATGTCACTTATGCTTTCTAAGGCTCAGTTTCCTCACCAGTAAAATGGCATACAACACCTAGGAGGATTGTTAGACGAGATGATACATGCAAAGTGAGTAGCATAGTACCTGTAAGGCAGGAAACCCTGTCCCAGTAATCATTTACACCATGTACACATGTATCAAACCAGCACAACGTACACCTTAAGTATATAAAATTGCACTTGTCAGCCATCACTCAATAAAGCTGGAAAAAATAAAAACATATTTTAAAATATACTGAGGGCTTCCCTGGTGACACAGTGGTTAAGAATCCACCTGCCAGTGCAGGGGACATGGGTTCGAGCCCTGGTCCGGGAAGATCCCACATGCCACGGAGCAACCAAGCCCGTGCGCCACAACTACTGAGTCTGTGCTCTAGAGCCGGCGAGCCACAGCTACTGGAGCCCACACGCCTAGAGCCCGTGCTCCACAACAAGAGAAGCCACTGCAATGAGAAGCCCATGCACCATGAGGAAGGGTAGCCCCCGCTCGCCGCAACTGGAGAAAGCCACGCAAAGACCCCATGCAGCCAAAAATAAATAAATAAAATAAATTTATAAAAAATAAAAGAAAACATACTGACTGTTAGAAAGTGATAAATCCTGTGGAGGAAGATCAAGCAGAGAATGGCGGGCAGGAAGTGTCAGATGGGAGAGGGTTCCACTTTCGATGAGGCAGTTGGTTGAAGGTCCATGAGCTGAGCCCTGTGGGTGGCAAGGCAGCGAGCCATGTGGATGGAGAGTCCTGGCGGAAGAGCCCGCAAGAAGGTCTGAATCAGTGCTGGCTGGAGCCGGCCTGCTGGGCCACCTGAGAGCCTCTTAATATTCAGAAACTTTGCAGGCCGGTTGTTAAACTTTGATAAGTTGAAACCGGTGGGAATCAAAACTGGCCATGGTGGGAATTTTTAACCATAGATACTGGCAAACACTACAAGTCACTTGTGCAGTTTTTGTTCTCAGAGAAGCACTTTACCAACAACCCCACCTCAAGACAGGACTTCAAAGCCACAGGGAGACTGCTGTGGCTGCAGCCCAGCGAGCCAGGTGAGAGCTGTTTTCCAGACTTTGCCTTTGAGCGACTCAAGGAGCCAGAGGACACTTTGTTCTTTTTAGTAGCTTTATTTAAGTATAATTTATGTACCAAAAATTCATTTCAAGTGTACAATTATTTGTATCCCTATTAATTTCTTTTAGTAAGTTTACAGAGTTGTGCAGCTCTGACCACACTCCAAATTTAGAACATTTCCAACAAAGAGATCCCTGTGCCCATTTGCTCCAGGCAACTGCCAATCTACTCCCTGTCTCTAGAGGGTTTTGCGCAGAAAAGGGACGTGATTTGATTTATATTATTGTCACTGTTGTCTCCTTTCTGCTACAATATAATAAAGTTCCTGTTCTCTTTTTGGATTAGATGATGACCTGAATTTTCAGGGAAAATATCCCCTAGGTCCAGACACCCAGCAGGCGCTGGAGCTGGAGTACCATCTCCCAGCTGTGAGAAAAGGTGGCGGGGCCGTGCCTGCTGGCTCAAGTGTGCTGACCAGCTGAAGCCACGTGGTGTCCCCTGCTGGCTTCGGGCTCTGCCTTCTCTTGGCTGCGTTTGGGGCCAAAGTTCCCGAGGGAGACTGAGTCAGCAAATTGCCTTTACTGGCGTTCCCAGGAGCCCGAATGTTTACAGGCATTAAGGCCTGCATTCAGCTGAAGCAAAACCTAGAAGTCTTCTCACTTCCTGGGTTCAAGAACAAGGCACTGTGGAGAGAAATCCTTCAGCAGGGGGTGTCAGCTGCCCCTGAGGCCTTTACTGATTAAGCCTAAAGAGGGCAGGGCCTGAAATGGCAGTTGTGCACTTGGGAAGGAGGCCTGGGATTCTAATTATCTGCTGTCAAGGGGCCCCCAGAATCCAGGAGTGAAAGGCAGAGGAAAGGGCTTGGGGCAGAGTTCAGGAGAGGTGAGGGGTTGGGGAGGGAGGTGAGGGAAAGGAAGTCCTGCCTCACACGCCGACCCCTGTTGCAGGGCCGGTGGCCACAGCAGAAGCTGGGGTCTAGGTTTCTGGGAGGTGAGACCTGGAAGTCACTTTTCCCCTCCAAGCCTCACTTTCTTTATCTATAAAATAGAGAATATAACACATCATACAGTTGTTATGAGGATTTAAGGAAATATAAAGCACTTTTCAAATGCTTCATACACAATAAGCCTTCAGCAGATGACAGTTATTATTGCTTTTCCTGTTACCATGACACATTATTATTGTTGATTATTGTCTTAGTCTGTTTGGGCTGCTATAACAAAAATACCATATACTGGGTGGTTTAAACACCATTTGTTTCTCACAGTTCTAGAGGCTGGGAGGCGCAAGGTCAAGGCACCGTGGGCAGATTGGTGTCTGGTGAGGGCGTGCTTCCTGGTTCATAGCTGTATGCTCTGCAATCAGAAGCAACAAGGGAGCTCTCTGGGGGTCTCTTTTATAAGGACTCCACCCTCATGACCTAATCACCCACGAGCAGTCCAGCCTCCTCACACTATTGCATTGGGGGTTAGGATTTAACATATGAATTTGCCATTTAGTCTATGGCAGTTTTTACTCCCATATTCTATTATTATTATTACCAAGAGGAACTTGGCAGAAAGAAACTGGGGATATAGTCCCGAGGCCACTGCTTCACTTCTCAAACTTGAACGTGCTCGACTCACCTGGGGTTCCTGTTAAAATGCAGATTCTAATTCCACAGGTCGAGGGTGGGGTCTAAAGTTCTGCCTTTGTAACCTGCTCCCAGGTGACGCTGAGGTCCTTGGTCCATAGGCCACACTCTGAATAGCCAGGCACTAAAACCTCTCTGTCCAATACAGTAGCCACTAGCCACGTATAGCTCTTGAGCATTTGAATGTGGCTGGTCTAAACTGAAGTGTGCCTGTAAGTGTAAAACGCACATTGGATTTCAAAGAATTAAGAATAACAACAAAAAAAATGTCAAATATCTCTCTAGTAATTTCTGATATCGATTACATGTTGAAATTATAGGATATAGCTACTTAAATAAAATGTATTATAGTGAATTTCACCTATTTCTTTTTACTTTTTTGAATGAAACTACTAGAGAATTGTGTATTACACGAGTACGTGTGGTTCACATCACATTTCTTTTGGAGAGTGCTGCCCTGGAGTTTTCTTTCACCTTGTCAGGCCAGTTCAGGATTTGCCAAAGGCTTTTTGAGGGATTCGCTTTGAAGGACTGAGCCTTGGGAAGCAGGCTCTGAGTTCCTGCGCTCAGATCCACAGAGATCCACGGACAGTAGAGGTGGAGGGGCTAGACCTCATGTCCAGGGAGGAGAAATGATCAAAATCACACCATGGAACTCAGACTAAAGCCCAGGACTCTGCTCTACAAGCCGATATGTGCCATGCTCACCCTAGGCCTGACCACAAGCTTCCCTTCAACCTCAGAGTCTCCCTGAAGCCCAGAATTCATGACGATGCTCTCTCTCCTCTTTGGTGATATGGCTAAGAGGACTGGTCCTCCAGGCTCTGAGAAATGCCTGGGGTATCTGTGTGTCTCATGGGCAGCTGCCGCCTCTACCTGTCCCTCAGAAGATTGTGGCCACCTGGGAAATCATCAGCCTGGGCAGACAGCCAGTGCCTGAGTATTTCAACTTTGCCCAGGATGTGCTGGATGTGTTGGAGTCAGCTGGAAAGGGTGAAGCTCACTGTGCCCCAGGGTCCATCTTGAGCATCAGATTCCGTCCACGCTTGGGCACCCCAGTGAGACTCAGGGCTACAAGACATGTGGACATTTTGACTTGGGAGTTTCTCAAGTCCTAAAATTTAAACTATTAGCATTTAACCTTAGAAAAACAATTACGACCAAGTCTTTGAGCCTTAGACACCTTGCCCAATCCCTAGTGTGTCTCACATTCCTGAGCCCAAATCACACAGGGAGAGAGTTACGCCCCTTTTGATTCCCTTCCAATCATTCTGAGCAAGTGAAGGAGAAAGTTTTGTATTACTCCTAGTCTGTTTTTAGTATCTTCCTCACGTCGTGCACATCCCTTTTAAATAAGGAGAGAGCTTGGCTAAGGCTCAAAGCTTGTCACAGATCACAGCAGACACATAGAATTGAATTCAGATGATCTATTTCTTTGGGTGTCTCTGTGCATTTGCTTCCTTCTTCATCTTCCCTTCCTTATGTGTCTGTTGTGCCTCTCCCCGAATTCTATGTTAAAGGTACTTTTTATTTGTAGTAGGAGAATATAAACTTTATCTCAAAGAAATTTATTTATGTTAATTTTAAGAAGAGCTTGTTTTTAAAAAAAGATGAGACAAGTACTACTGTGAGTAGATGTAATAACAGTCTACCCTTAGTGGATATGGTAAAATTTATGGAGGTGGTGTGAGAATGACTGAGATGCAAAAGCAAGCTTTGCTGTCAAGTGGATGTGGTTCATCCGCTTGAAGTGCGACCTTGAGCGAATCCCTAGGCTCCTTGGATCTCAGTCTTCTAACCTATAAAAAGGGACTCGTACGCCACTTGGAGCTGTGTGTGAATTAAATGAGAAATAAGAGATGGAGTCAGGGTGCTCCTTTCCTGTCTACAGAGTGTAAGCAGAGTGAGCCTACATTAGGCTCATCCTTAGAAGACTTCTCCTAATGAAAAAAATCAAACAAATAGGGTTAAGTCAGAAAAAATGATGGAATAAGGACTTTCTAAACTTTTTTTTCTCCATAATAGCAGCAACAAAAACCTTAGAAAAGTGGTCATAATCAACTTTTCAGAACTCTAGAAACTAGCCAAAGGCTAGAGTAATCCAGGAAATATTTATTAAAGAAAAACTTGTTACGATTTTGGTGTATCTCAGTGAGCACACCCCTGAGATATTACCTCATTATGTAAAAATAACATATCCGTCATGACTATTCTGACAGAAGTTTAAAACACATCTGATGTTTAACTTTCAGGAACAAAGAACTGCCAGAAAATAATAGCCTCTTCGTTATGCATGCATTTAAAAGCTTACCAGAAGTCTGCCTTTTATAAAGGAATAGTATGAATAAGTAAAACTGCACTTTTAAAAACTTATTTGCCATTAAGGCAGAAATTATAAAGTTGCAAAAAAAATGACAATACATCCCAAAGTGATCTACACACTCAATGTAAGCTTTACAAAAATTCCAGTAGACTTCTTTGCAGAATAGACAGTCTTGTCCATAGAGTCATGTGGAAGTGCAAGGGACCCATAATAACCAAAACAATCTTGAAAAAGGAACACAAAACTGGTGTATACACACTTCCTCACTTCAAAACCTACTACAAAGTTACAGTAATCAAGACTGTGTGGAAAAAAAAAAGGCAATGTGGTACTGGCATAAAGATTGGCATGGATGAATGGGATAGACTTAAGAATCCAGACATATACCCATAAATCTATGGTCAATCGGTTTTCAACAAAGGTGCCAAGAAAATTCAATGGGGAAAGAATTGTCCTTCCAATTAATGGTGCTGGCACAACTGGATATTCACATGCAAAAAATGAATGTGGTCCCTACCTCACACCACATACAAGAATTAACTCAAAAATGGATCAACGACCTAAATGAAGGAGCAAAAACTATAAAATTCTTAGAAGAAAATATAAGTGCATATCCTGAATTAGGTAATGGTTTCTAAAGCATAAGCAATGAAAGATAATAAATCAATCAAACTTCATGAAAATTTCTAGTATTTGTAGATCAAAGTGAAAAGATAGCTCATAGAATGGGAGAAAATATTTGCAAATCACATATCTGATATACATATATAGATCATATATATGTACACACCTATATATATGTTGCACATATCTGCAATATAAAAAGAATTCAAACTCAACAATAAAAAGATAAATAACCCAATTAAAATATTGGCTAAGGATTCAAATAGGCACTTCTCTAAAGAATATAAACAAATGGCTAATATACACATGGCAAAATGCTCGATGTCTTTATTCATTAGGGGAATAAAATCCCAACCACAATGAGACAGCACTTCACACAGAGTGACACAGTTAAAAACAAAAACAAAACAAAATCAAAAAAGTGTTAAATAAAAGAAATAAACAAAATAAAACAAACGAACAAAAACAAACAAAAAGTGTTTGCTAGGGCTTCCCTGGTGGCGCAGTGGTTGAGAGTCCGCCTGCCGATGCAGGGGACACGGGTTTGCAACAGCAAACAAACAAACAAAAATCCTCACCAATGGTTTCTACTTCTTTTTTGCCAATACCGCTGCCTAGGCTGGGCACCGGCCCCCAATCCCTGCCTTCTGGTGGGTCAATGGCATGGGAGCAGAGGTCAAGGGGAGCTTTGAGGAGGTGGGGGAGCAGTCCAGGAAGGCGGCTAACGTGCTGGGGGGGCACGTGTGGCCTGCAGCCTGGAGACAGAATGATGCTGCCTCTTCCTCAGCTCCAGGAGTGGTGGCTGGTCAGTGTGGCTTGTAGGAGGACAGGTCAGTGAGCAGGGCTGAGACTCCCAGTTGGGGCTGACACAACCTGCCCGAGCTTTGGCAGCATCCACGAGGTTTGGGAGATGGAGGAAATTGAACCCCATGTGGCGTTTTATTTACTTCCCCTTTGCCCAACAGTCACAAACTTGATTGTGTACAGGGGCCAGATAGCACTGTAATTGATTAAAACAGGCCGGTGTGAGGCAGCAGGGAGTGCTGAGGACTGCGCTGAACTGGAGCTCACATGCCTCATCCAGCAGGGACCACCACTCCTCCAAACTCCAAACGCATGTTTCCATGTGTGAATGAGGGCCAGTGTTTCCAGAACTTCTGATGTTTGTAATTAAAAACACTTGGATTTTTATGGAAAGAAAACTTCCGGTCTTTTAATGTTGACAAATAAATAGATTTTTTAGGGCTTCCCTGGTGGCGCAGTGGTTGAGAGTCCGCCTGCCGATGCAGGGGATGAGGGTTCGTGCCCCGGTCCGGGAAGATCCCACATGCCGTGGAGCGGCTGGGCCCGCGAGCCATGGCCGCTGAGCCTGCGCGTCCGGAGCCTGTGCTCCGCAGCAGGAGAGGCCACAACAGTGAGAGGCCTGCGTACCGCAAAAAAAAAAAAAAAAAACTCTGCTGACATGGTTCTCAGTCCTGGATGCTCATTAGTAGCACCTTGGAAGCTTCAAACATTTCTGATACTCAAGTACCACATCAATGAGAGCCAACTTCTGAGAATGTGCGTCAGCTCCCCAGGTGATTCAGACATGCAGCCGAGCTTTATAGAAACTCCATCTGCTGTATATAGGAAGCCATCAATCAGCAACAATATTGGAAGGAGCAGATAAAAGTCAGTCCATTTGTTTTTGAAATGCTGTATATATATTTTGTGGCTTTTCTGTGATTACAACAGAAATAATCTTTCATGGTATTTTATTGAAAGTCATAGAAATCTACCTACAAAACAATGACAATAACAACATAGTAATTCCATCAAGCAGAGATAATGTGAAAATTTAAATGTATTTTCTTCTAATCACTTTTGTAGGTGAAAGTAAATCCTTGACTTTCCTGAAGAATTTATTCCTTATTCACTGAGTGCCTACTTCATGCCACTAAGTATACAGCACTGGACAGGAAAGATAAAACCCTTGTCCTCCTAGAGCTTAAATACAGGACCTCTCTGGTCTGTGATCATTCCATTGAGAGAGTCAAGTTGTAAAGTTATTTGCTAAAAAGAACCTTTGTTTTCTTCAACTTTTTCTTTTCATCACTAGCACCAGCTGTTAGTTTTCTTTCTGGGTCATTTTTAACTAAGAAAAAAATATTAAATCTCTTCATGAGAATCATGGAACATTGAAAATTAATAGAGGTTGTCAGGCCACAGTTGCTCTGTGAATGCTGAGTGGTCAGCAGGACTGACCAGGTAAGCTCATTCCCCCCTCATTAGCATATACATTCCATATAGCTGAGATTGCACATGTCAATTAATGTGCCTATTTCAACTTTATACCCAGTATAAGGAATCTACTTATTTTCCTATGGGAACAAACTGTCAAATGCACAGATGTTCATTACAGTGTTGTTTATAACAGATGAAAAAGGTGGAGGTACTCTCTGAACTTCTAACAGTGGGAAATTAGTTATATAAATGATATTATAGCATTGTATATTAAAAAAAAGAAGAGAGAGAAAGAGAGAAAAAGAAGAAAAGGAAAGGGAAAGGACTAAAAAGAAAAAGAATCCAAATTTCTAATAACATGAAAGTGTTTAAATAAATAATATTATAGCCACACAGAGTAATATTATGCAAATATTTTATATTTCATTACACTTTTTTTTTTTTTTTGCTGTACGCGGGCCTCTCACTGTTGTGGCCTCAAGTAAACTTGGATTGTAGAAATACATGTATAGAATATTTTGTATTCACACAAATGTGTATATGCGTAAAATCACAGATAAGCCATGAAAAGTTCCCATACACAGATCAAATTGTTAGCCTTGATTATCTGAGTAGTGAGACTGATCTTTTGTCATCCTTCATCATTATTTTCTATTTATTCTATAAGAGATATATAATTGTATAATACAGAAATTATACATTTTTTAAATGAAATCTATGCAAGCAAAGGGTCCTCAGGTATAGTTTCATACATAATTGGCACCATACCACAACTTTGTACTATGCACTTTTTAACATTAAGTTATGTCACGCGTCTTTTTGTGGCGCTAAGTATTTTGGGAAAAATTCGTTTTCTACGGCTGCTTAGAGCTCCCCCAATTTGGGGGTGAATATGGTTATTAAGCTTTGTGTAGCACATTCCCTTCTGAGGGCCTTGGCTCTGCCGGGGGCACTTTGAATACATCTCCCAGTGCCCAGCCTGACAACAAGCGTCATTACCCTGAGAAAGTTAGAGCCTTATCCACAAAAACATTATCATAAGTCTCAATATCTAGTAGAGCAAGTCTCTCCTTCTTACTCAACTTCTTTAGAAATGTTTTACCTATTCTTGGTCCTCTGTTCTTTCATATACACTTTAGAATCAATTTGCCAAGTTCTGTGGAACTGTTCGCATTTTAGTTGGAGATGCATTGTTTATAGATCAATTTGGGGAGAATTAACATCTTTATGATATTAAGTGTATCTTTTCACTTATGTATATCTTCCTTAATGTTCTGTAGAGTTTTACATTCTCTATGTATGCTTCTTACAGATTTTGCAGTAGATTTATTTTTAGGTTTTGACAGCTTAGCTTTTTTCTTTATTTTTCAGAATGCGTTTTTAAAATTAAAGTATAACTTACATGCAATGAAATGCCCTTATGTTAAATATACGGGTCAATGACTTTTGACAAATGTATATGCCTGTGTAACCATCACCACATCAAGTTATAGAACATCTTTTATCACCCCAAAAAGTTCCCTTGTGCCCCTTTGCAGTCAATCCCTAGGCCTCAGGCAATTGCTAAATTGTTGTCACTGAAGATTAATTTTGCCTTTTGTTAAAAATAGAACTTCATGTAAATGGAATCAAAGTATTCATTTGTTTGTGTCTGCTTTCTTTTACTCAGTGTAACATTCTTGAGGTTCATGTGTGTTGCTGCCTGTGCCAGTAATTTGTTTCTTTTTCTTACTGAGCAGTAGCTTTACTTAAAGCTTTGAGAATCAGAGTTTGGTGTCGTAGCTCTTTCCCCTACCCTTGCTCTTGGCCATCCACTCCCTTTCTATCTTCAGTGATTGCTGTGCACAAAGAGTATCAGTGTGCTCTTTTATCCTAAGAAACAGAGCCAATAGCCATGTGCCCACCCACCTGCATGCAAGTATGCTGCCTAGACCCTTCTACGGATGGCAGTGGGCGGCTATCCTTAATCATTTCCTGGCAGCTTCCTTCCAGTTAAAAGAGGGAAAACCCATATCTACACTACCAAACGTAAGGTAGATAGCTAGTGGGAAGCAGCCGCATAGCACAGGGAGATCAGCTCGGTGCTTTGTGACCACCTGGAGGGGTGGGATAGGGAGGGTGGGAGGGAGGGAGACGCAAGAGGGAGGGGATATGGGGATATGTGTATATGTATAGCTGATTCACTTCGTTATAAAGCAGAAACTAACAACAGAAAAAAAAAAAAAAAAAAAACTATATCTGTGATGTGAACCTGAAATAAAAAGAGGGAAAACCCACAGATTCATGGCTCCCTGCCCAGTGGGGACTTCTAGCCACTGGACTTCCTGTTGAGGGGTCCCCAGCCTTCGGCATGGGGCTGCTCAGGCCATGTGTCCTGAGTGACTGTGCCCAGATGGCCCTTCATGGGCTCACTGTGAATTTCAGGACAATTCTGAGAAGACAGCAGCATCAGAGCAAGGAGACTTTTACATCACAGGGGACGGAACCCACATGGACAAGGATGGCTACTTTTGGTTCATGGGAAGAAATAATGACGTGATCAGTTCCTTAAGGTCAAGTTGGCTGCTCTTTCCTTCTCCCTTTGAAGCTTCATGGGAGAGGAGAGGACACTTGGAAGAGTTTGTTTTTCTCTTCCAGCTACCGGCTCGGGCCCGTTGAAGTGGAGAGTGCACTTGCTGAGAACCCAGCCGTCCTGGAGTCTGCTGTGGTCAGCAAGCAGCCTGGACCCCATCAGAGGGGAGGCAACTAGTCCAATCAAGAGCATTGCTTCCCGATTCTTTGCCTATTAGCACCCAGCAGAGTAAGCTGGAAGGCCCAGATTCCCCCATATCTCACCCCATCCAGGTACCGCTAAGTCTGAAATGCCACCATCAGACAGACACACATTCCTTTTGGTTAAGCATTGCCCTCACATCTTTAGAGATACAAATATGCTCTAGAGGGACACCATGGGAAGATATCAACACTTTGGTGTCAAGTGGACATGGTACTGTGTCCAAAAGGGGCTATTAGGTGGGAGATGTTAGTGGCAGGTGCTGGCTTTGTCATCCATCCTGTCCAATTAAATGTCCTTTTCCATTTGCAGATAAAGATATAGTGAGCACACCAAACATAGTTGCTGATAGCTCTAACCTGTGAGGGATAACCAACTTGAGGGATGACAAAATAAGTATCTAAAGTGACCTTGATATGTCAGAAACAAGGACCAAATTTAATAAGATGGCTTTTCTCAGGAGAAATGCAAATTCCTTCCCGTGGGTCCCAGAAGAACAGACAGTATGAGAAAAATAAGCTCACAGGCAGACCTACGAACTTTTCACTGGCTGTAAATCCAACATAACCCTAAAGTATAACATAGTTACCTTGTGAAAGTTAGTGCAAGATCAAGCTGTATTTTCAGAAGCCTCAGGGCAGAGGAGTGATTTGCAAAGTCTGGGCCCTGGACTGCTCACAGCTGCGTCTTCTGGGATTTTTGTTGAATCAAAGGGACTGATTCAACAGTCCCTTTGCTGAATCAAAGGGACTGGGAATGCAGCCTTAAGGAATCTTCATTTTGACCAGAAGCCCCTAGCCAAGTGATTCCGATGCCCACTAAATTTGAGGCCACTAATATAGAGTGAGCGGGGTGAGAATCCCATCTGTGGGGGAGAGAAATCGTGCCTGGAAAAGTATGCCTAGTCCTGCATGGCTCACATTAACTGGGGCTATGACAAATGGCTGAAAGTTAAGCCAAGTCTAATGCTCAGAACAAGAACAGAGCCTGGCACATAGAAAGTGTTCGATAAATGCTTGGTAGTTTTAGCAGAAAGAGAAAGCCCTTCCTAAAAACCAGATCTATCTGAACATGAAATGGTAGTGAGACGCCCACCACTGGGAAGTATGCAAAGACAATGAACCACCACTTAGGTGTTGTTGACAGAGTTCTATGCTGGCCTTTGAACTCTTCCATTCCTGTCAGAAACCATGTTCTGTTGTACCTGAGGTTGGGACTATCTCTCTTCCTTGGCAGGAGGCAACCTGAAAGAAAGATGTGGGCAGAGAGAGCCAAGGTGTGCAACGTCCCTCAGGATGCCTGAAACAGCTGTGCATCAAAATGCTTGCTGATTGCAAACACTCATACATGCAGTCTCAGAAAGACCCACCTCCCCTTGCAGGTGGTACACGTTTTCCCCCAATCCTGCCTGTCCAAACCTGTACCTAGCTGCCTTCCTAGTCAGGAAAACCTATACGTAATGAACCCTAAGGAGTTTGTGAATCTCCTCTCTCCAAAGTATTGGCATCTTAAGGGAAGCATGTTGGCTTCTAACCGTGTCATTTCAGGTATGGGGAAGAGTTTGGAAAATAGGATTCTAAAATCACTGCATAAAAGCCATAACTCCCAATAGTTGATCCTGGAAAGGCAGGCAACAGAAAGAAACTGGTATCCAATTTGCTGGCTGAGTCCAAGTCACTGGTAGAATTTTCATGTTGGGCTGGTAAATGTGAGCACTTATTCACAAGGCTAGGTTAAGGAGAAAAGAGTTGTTACATGAGGCCTGATTCTTTGTTTTTTGTTTGTTTGTTTTTTGTTTTTTCCAACAGGTGGTAAAGGCATTTATAGTCCTTTCTCCAGCCTATTCCTCGCATGATCCAGAGAAACTAACCCAGGAACTCCAGGAGCACGTGAAAAGGGTGACTGCTCCGTACAAGTACCCCAGGAAAGGTAAACATCTGCGGGTTCTAGGACTGAATAAGCTGGGAAATCAAAAGGGCACATGCTCCCTGGGCTCTCACTCAGGATCAGGCACTGGGAGGATGAAGACACGAATAACCCTGGCTGCTGCCTCAGCCCTGTCTCCCTGTTTCTTCACTGGGCCTTCCCCATAGCACATTGTGTTCCCACTCTAAGAACTGACATAAAGGAGATTCAGTTGGTGCTATTGAAACACTGCTGGAAAGAGCATGTGCTCCAGGCTAGCTGTTTTCATTGTTGCCCTTTGGGGAAAACCATGAATCATGGAGGCTTTCCAGTGACATCGAAAGGCTTTCTGTAAAATGATAATTTCAAAGTGTTTTTGTTTTATGGTCACTAGATGGCCTTTGTTTCAGAACTGCCAAAGACGGTTTCTGGCAAGATCCAAAGGAGTAAATTGAGAAGACAAGAGTGGGGAGATAAGAGGCAGCCCCCAAAAGGCCCCTTAGACCTCTGAAGCTTCTAAAAGGAACTGGTGGGATCACTGGTTAGTCCCCACTTGGAGCATCACCCCTTCAAACCTGCAGACATCAATGTCTTTCAGTTTCCAAATGAGCATCTCCAGAATCATTGGATGACCCTGGAAGAGAGCAGAGAACATCTGCTCTCTTCTGAGATGCTGCTTTTTTTTTTTTTTTTTT